TGCACTTTGGCAGGCCCACTCAGTCACATTCAGGAATGAGGAGGGAAAAGCACACAGAGAGCCATAAACGCTTCAGGACGATCTGAGACAGGCCTAAGGAGGGATGCACTAGGGACACACCCAAGGACAGGCAGAACAGCCTCAGGTACACACTGCTCTCTCAAGGCTCACTTGGCACACTTGAGGACACGCCCATAGGTGGCAGAGGGGGACAGAGGCCTCAGAGCACCTGGTGCCCTTGGCGCACCCCCAGGCGCCCTGCGTGCGTGCCCGCCTGTGTGCACCGACACCTGTGGGAGGAGAGGTGCGCACTGCGCCCGGGGCTGCCGGCCGCCTTGGGGGGGGAACGGTTGCCATGGCGGGCTAATCACTGCCGCATACTAATGGGCGGCCACGGGTGCTGCCCCCACAACGCCCAACCCCACCAGCCGCTCTCGCCTCCCTCTCCTTCCTCACGCATCCGCCCTCACCCCTGTGCGCGGCCTCGGCCCATTCAGTCCACTTGGATCCTGAACCCTGGGCGGCCGGGGGGGGGGGCATCGCCTCGACTCCTCCATAGAGAGGTCCAGCCAAGCCCAAGGCTGGGCACCCGCTCCAGAGCAATGACTCCCTGCCTGGGCGCAGGTACCAAGCAGGCTTAGCAGCTGAAAGCACAGGTGCTGCCTTGGACCATCCTGAGACCATCCTGGGAAAGGGCGGGACAGGGCGAAAGAAAGGAAGACTTTGGCCCTGCATTGCCACAAGACCCACCAGTCTCTCTTGCCAAGCACCTTGGTCATTTGCCAAAACATGACACCCCTCTCCAGCTACTCTCCAGGCCTGGCATGACCTCGGGGTTGGGAGTAGTTACCACCACAAATAGATGGGTTACCTATCTCCTAGGACCTGCACCTCTGCCCTCCAGTTAGCCCTAATCAGGTGAGGAAGGAAAATGAGTGCTGAGGCCTGGGTGGAAAACACTGGAGGGATTACTACCTCTTGCTACCTGGATCCCAATCCCAGAGCTGCCCTGACCCTCTACCCCTCAGCCCCACTGTGTTAACTGGAGGAGGGAAAGCAGGCCCTGTAGGGTGGAGGAGCCAGTAGCAGGGGTTTGCAGGTAGAGGTAGTGGGAGAGGGGGCCTAGTGGGGGGAGCCAGGCGGTTGCCTAGCAACCCCACAGCTGTCTATTGACCTAGAAGAAGCTGCGCTGTCTTGACACAGCTGGTGTTTACATGTAACCGAGGTTCTGGCTTAGCGCTTGCTTGGAGCAAAGCTGAGGCAGGGCCCTGGTGGCAGCCTGGCCCCAGCCCTGCCTGTTGTGGGCTCCATGCCTGCCTGCCCTGTTTGCTTCTCGCCCACCTCAAGTCTCAAGTCCTACAGAGAAGAGACCTCTGAGATGGAGGTTTGTGGTCTAGGCACCAGCGCACACACACACACCCCTGAGGCCTTCAACACAGAATAGTGGAAAACTAAGAAAAGCAGGATACCACAGGCCAGTGCCATATACCAACATAGACATGGATCACACATGGACACATGGATCACAGTACTTCCAAAGTGACATATGCCAAGTGTGGTGCACACCTGTAACCCTGAATTTGAGAGGTGGAGGCTATAGGATCAGGAGTTCATAGCTAGCCTCTGCTACATAACAAGTTCAAGGCCAGCCTGGACTACATGAGATGTTGTCTCCAAACAAAACCAAAACAAGTGACATTGTCATACAATCCAGTGCAGAGATGCCCACAGGCATAATGACATCCAGGTAGACACACACATATACACACACACACACACACACACTCAAGAACACAACCATCAAGAGACTGAGGCATGTGCACACAGGTTCACCTGAAGATTATCTTGATACGAAAGACAAACAGGCACTGACCATCCAACAGACACCCTCAAACTCAGAGACACATGAAAAAAAAAAAAAATGACCCACCGCTAACACCAGCAACTCATGTGCACCCATCTCATTTGTCAGCATTTGCAGGCTTCGTGATGAAAGGAAAAAACCAAAATACAGAGTCACCCACATGCACATACACTAGCACTCAGGAAAACACAACCCACCAAACTTACTGATTGCCCACAATGCCCAAGACAGGCAGTAGCTGACACCATTGGCACAGGAAGACACACCCAGGAGCCCAACATTCGAGGAGGCACTGGTCACCAAAGGACTATGGGTCCTAACATGTCCCCACCTGCACCCACACATAGCATAAAAACACGTGCCAGCCTAGGGTGTGGTGTGGGCAGAGCTGAGACTCCTCCCTGTCCACAAGCTCTCAGTTGCAGTACATCTACCTTGAAGTCCAAAAGTCCTAGTGGCCCCAGGAACAGAGCTGGGTAACCTCATGTATTGCCCCTGTGGGAGCCCCTTGTCTGTATGGGAAGGCACAGCTCTGTCCTTTGGAGTTCCTGGATCCCAGCACCCACATGGCACAGTGCTGCCCCCAGAAACCCAGAGTCTGATGGAGACCTAACTCCCTCCCAGGCATCTCTGGACATGGCAGACACAGACACATATGAGCTTGTAGCAATTCCAGGGGTGCTCCGGAGGGCTTCCTGAAAGAGGTGAACCTGGGGTCTAGGCTTTGGAGCCTAGAAGGAAGAGGGAAGAATGAACACTCTACTAAAGAAGGGCCTCCTTTCCCTCCCTGCCCCCACCCTGTCATCTAGCAGTCCCTCCTCCCCCAGGGCCCAAGGGGCCGGCTGGGGCCCCACAGTCCCATCAGCCCAAGCCCTGAGCAGAAGGAGGAGAGAGGATATTTTTAGCTTCTCTGCCACTGACATTTCGCAGCAGGCGACCTGGGGTGAAGCTGAGTGAGTGCTGAAGGCTGGGAGAAGCCGAAGGCGCCTTCCCGCCCCCATGCACATGCACACACAACTGTGCACACATGCAGTCAGGGCCCCAACACTTGCAGCATTCACACCATGGCATAGCCTCAGTGACACAGCCCCATGCTGAGACATGCCCCCGAGCATACACTTGGTTCCCATGCCACCCGTGACAGAAATTTCACATACCTGGACACACACAAAATGTCCATTTACACACTCAGACACAGTGCACACATATTTCTCACACTTAGCCAAGTTTGCACAATCATCACCCATGAAAGCAGTATTCAGTGCCTCCTATGAATTGGGCACTATTCTAGTCATGAGAGGGACTGTGAATAAAAAAGATTAAAATTGTGATCCCCATAGTTGGAGTGGGAGGTTGACAAACAAGTCAAGACATGGTGGCATATACCTTTAATCCCAGCACCCCAGAGCAGAGGCAGAGGCAGGTAGATCTCTATGAGATCTAGGCCAGCCTGGTCTACACACCAAGTTCCTGGCCAGCTGAGGCTACAGGGAAAACCTGTCTCAACAAAACCAGGGCTGGAGAGATGGCTCAGCAGTTCTTGCAGAAGACCTGGGTTCTAATCCCAGAACCCATATCGCAGCTAACAACTGTCCACAACTCCAGTTCCAGGGGATCCAACAGCCTCTTCTGTCCTCCTCGGCCATTGCACGACACAGGTGCACTTACCTACAGGCAATACACACGTACACATAAAATTTAAAATTAATTAAAAATCAGAGTGTTGGGAGTGTAGTTCAGCAGCAGATTGCTTGCCTAGGTTGTCCAAGGCCCTATGTTTAATCCACAATACCACAAAAAAAGAGGAAAAAGCAATACATGACCCAAAATACACAGCCATATATGTGAACAACTCCCTAATATTCAGTACCCCACAAATACACATACTCACATACACAACCTATAGTCAGGACTTATACTGGATCTGGTGAGATGGCTCAGTAGGTGAAAACATTTATTGTGAAATCCTGAAGACTTGAATCCCCAGATCCCATGATGGAAGGAGAGAACCAACTCTCAAAGTTGTCCTCTGACCTCCACAAGATCACAGTGGTAGCCACACACTCACACTTCTCATACAATAATAAATAATTTCTTTTTTTTTCTTTTCTTTCTTTATTTTTTTGTCTTTTTTTTTTTTTTTTTTTTTTGGGTGGGGTTTTCTTTCATCCCCCACTTTC